TCGTCGTGGGATGCGTTTGAAGCTACTTGCCTGCTTCTGCTCCGGTGTTTGCTTCAGAAGAGTATTCTGTTTTTTTTTTTTTTTTGAGATCTCGTGTTGCTTCTTGGTGAAACGGGAGAGTCCGCGGAGGGCGTCTCGCATTGACAGCCAGGGTTGAAGATTTCGCCATTGATCGGAGAGCTTGGCAATGCAGACGGTGTTACCCTCGGCTCTAGAGGGGCTCGATGAACCTTCATGGATTTAGCGTCTGAAGTCCGGAGTGCTATCGCTATTTTGCGGATTCACGCTGTCATTTGAATATTATTTTATTTAATATTATTTAGAACTAATTTCATAATGAATTTTATAAATTATCGATCCAGATCGTTTTGGTGACGATAGGACTAATACAAAAATATAAAATATAATCTAAAATATACTATAAATGATAAGATCTTTATTGTAATTCACATCTCATAAGTTTATTATTCCAGACTACTTTGGTAGCTATCGGATAAAACTTATGAAGATAAATTATAAATAATATTCATAAATTTATTTATCTTGATTCATGCTGAAACAGTTCAATAATAAAATAACAATTATAATAATTATTAAACATTAATGATAAGTAGTTCAATAATAGAATAATAACCATAATAATTATTGAATATTAATGTTAAATAATTTAATAATAGAATAATAATCATAATAATTATTGAACATTAATCAGTAAAAAAAAACTCATATGATAATCACGATAATATTATTGAACATTATTTCATAATTTCATATATATAGGATGATAGACTTATGAGATATGAATTACAATAAAATTATTATCATTCATGGGATATTTTAGACTGTATTTTATCTTTTTGTATTAGTCCTATAACCACCAAAATAATCCGGACCAATAATCTATAAAATAAATTATGGAATTGATCATAAATGATATTAAATAAAATAATATTCACGATGACACATATAATTAGGAGATTTAGATAATCTCAAAAGAGAATCTATTTCAAATAATTATGTGATGAGATAGGATGATATTGTTTTGGATATCCTTGTAGTTTAGGGTCGTATACCCAAAGATAACAATATTATTCCACAATGAATCCTCCATAAGAGTGAATACTAGATATATCAATATTTCACCCAAAAATGAAATATAGATGATATCAATAGTTTATCATATTTCTGAAACTCAAAACATTAATGTTATATTATTACCGTGGCACTTAGGTTCATATCCTGTTGTATGAATAACGCTGCAGCTTAGGTTTATATCATGTCGTCGTATGAATGTGGGTGGGGCTCCAAAAGTGGTTAATGATGGGGTCATTGTTCCTCTTGCAGATCCAATTGGGAATGCTGGTGCTGCTTTGATTCACTAAGTGTGCCAATTGTTCTGCAAAATTAGATCTCTGCACCTAAACTGGCTAATTTGTTATTTGAGGTACTTTGTGTAAAACCTGGGTATGAGGCACACACTTTTCTTTAAAATGAAGGTTGATAGCAAGACAAATTACTCTGCTGGAGATGGCTTCTGCATGTGAAATCTTCAAGGAGGGTTTGTTGAATGTTACTTTTGGTACAGATGTCCATCAAGATGGGAATTGACAGAACTGTTAGTGGTAGTGGAAGAGCTCGAGATGAAAGTGTGGCTTGTCAGGGGATTTGCTGTTATCAGAAGTAACAAATGTCCGTCTGGGATTTGCTGATATCAGAGTTAACAAAGTGTGGCCAATTGACCATTTTTCTAGGTTTATTATCTGTGACACAACTTTTCAAAGCTATCATTTGTGTGACTTATAAAGCATTAAACGCTCATAATTTTCATAGATATGTGTTTATAGGTAAATATTATTATATGCTGTTGCAGATGTCGTATCCATTTCAGCTGGTACAAATGAGTTCAAAGGAACCACGATTGCTGTAATATTGAAAAAGTTGGTTCTGATTGTGTTTCTTCTATTGAATCCTCATCGTCCTTTTAAGACTACTGTTGATGTCAAAGGATGGAGGTTAAGACTTATCGGAAGCTGCACTTCTTTCTTTAGTGTCTGCTTTCGATACGAGGAGATTGACAAATTACATCCTCTTACAGTTTTCACGACTCCTGAGACATTAGTTGTTAAATTTGACAAGGCAAAGAAATCGTACCTTTGTTGGAGAAAGCCACCCCACTGGGAGCCCATTCTCATTTTTGCTGAGGATGTTACTGGTGAGGCTCTAGCATCTCTAGTCATGCAAAAATGTTCTGGGATATTGTGAACATCGCTGCAATTAAAGCATTTGGTTTTGATGAAAGGAAGTCTCTCCTTCAAGATATCACCATTGTTACATGCATTTTTACTTGTTGTTGTGCTTTTTTTATTTATTAATTTCCTGTACGTAACATTACGATCATTGACAGTTGTTCTCAAGATTCTTTAGGACCTGGTCATCTTCTCTTTTATGAAGTTTCTATCTTATGAATGAAATCCTGGGCTTTACGAGAGTCTCAGGCACTTTGTAAAATGTAACTGGTAACTTAAAAATAGAGTTCCATTGGGCTTTACTTCAATGATGCATGTCCCTTTAGCTTAAGCTTGCATAATTTAGACTGAAACCTGCCAGTTCAAATTTTGGTTAATTCATCTCTTCTGTATTTCTTCCACTTTTGGTCTCTTTATTACTCAGAGGAGGACTGAAACCTTCTAAACCTGTTTTTGGCTGTCAACAAGAATAAACTATGTGCAAAAATGGAGTTGCCATTTATATAGCTGGTTCTTTTCCAATTGTTTCTTTGCTGTTCAATTTGTAATTCAAGTATCAGGTGAATTCCATTTCCAAATACCATTTATTTTTCACTTTCCTACTTTATACATTTATTTTGTAAGCATGCCACAAAAAAAAAAAAAAAGATTGACAACATCTTTTATCTGTTATCAATCCACTGCATATTATACGTCTGTAATGACAATCTGGGAACCATATTTTGTAATCAGTCCAAAAATATGTGATGCGGTCATTCTCGATGTCATTTAGCCATCTTTTTGAATCGATGTCTTCTTGAATTTTCACAATCCTAATGGTTCTATAACCAAGAAAAAGACCTGTTTTCTTCTTTCTGATCGCTTGTCATATTGTACAGTATCTAGGAGCTGAATTTGGAGCCAAATAGCTTGGCTTACTTATTGAGAATGTATCAGTCAAGCAACTGGGGAGAGCAAGGAGATCACAAACTTACAAAAGGCTACTACCTTTATTGCTGATGCAGCATCCAAGAATCTGATCCAGACTGAATTGATTCATCAATTTTTGGTTGATATTTATGAGTTAAACATTAGAGTAACTGCAGAGTTTGATTTAATCTTTCATATATTGGACTAATTTGTGTTTGAACAGGCACTGTGGCACCTGCAGCGATGATTGGTCACAATGCTATGGTTGACAAGTTGGAGTCGTTGACCCAGCTAAAGTGACAAGGAAGAGCCCCTCAAAATTTTGCATCTGCAGCTGGAATGGTCTTAGACACAGTAGGGAAAGAAGGTGTTCCGGTATACAAGGTAAGAACTATAGTTTTGCTGAATCGACCATTAGCTAATTAATTATAGCGCATGACAATATATAATTGCTCCATTATGTTTTAAACAAATCACTCATCTACTGAAACTTTCACTTGGCCTTTTGATACTGGCTTGAGAGGATTAACATCATATCTTATATACAAATTTTGCTTATCTTCCTTGTTTGGAGCTTCCATCTCATGGTCTTATCACATACTGATGCCGAAAGTTTTGCATGATAACAATTTATTTATTTATTTTTTTTTAGCGTTGAACAGAAACGATTCAGAAACTCTTATTCTTGGGACCAAAGTCAAATACGGCTTCTTGGCCCCCCAAAATTCCAGCACTTAGTACAGCAGATACACGCATTTAATTGTTTGTATATTGGCTAACATGGTGCCTATTAACTTTCAGGAAGTGCCAAAGGGCAAGATTTAGGCGTTCAAAAATATATATGTGATGCTATCATCAACTCTGTAAAGAATGGACAGTGGATGCATCGATGAGTCGGACGCTGCTGCTGCATGAAGGCTAATTATTTTGTTTAACTTACACGATTGAGTAACCACAGGTATATAAGATACTTGGTATTATTTTATATGAGGTTTGTAGGTGTGCGGAGGGAATGACTTGGATCGCCACTCCACATCACTTGCTCTCTCATGTGTGTTTATCCCCTGGATGAAGTTTCATTCTATTTCTGTTGCATCATTATATTAAATGTTAAATAGAAGTTTTTATTTTTAATAGGGGAGGAAAATGTCCTGCATTTGACTCATATAAACCACTCTACAATGATCCCAAATAAGCCCATCTTTATGTGCAAATCCACGTATCAGGGAGTTGACTTGGTGGATTCAGTGCATATACCTAGTGGAATTTAATTTGAAGACTTCAGCTCCTTCTTCCATTTGACTTGGTGCAGAAAAAATCACCCAATAACTTGTCCCCATGAATGAATTGACTTCTGATCTTCTTAAAACGCATCGAAGTGGGGTAACTGTTCCAACTGCATCTTCATTAATATGACATTTACTTGTAGCATTTAATCAAATGTTGGAGAATTAGTTCATTTTAAACCTGAGATCAGATCTCAGCATGGTTATGTGTTTTAAGAGTCTCAACTATGGGCACAGAATTAATTGTTCACCAGTAATTGTCATATTGTTTTTGTCTCATGTCGGCCGGTGATCTTGCATCAGAGAAAGCTGCATCCCGTGGACGGCTGTTATTGGATCAACCAAAGGGGTTATGGAATATTCTATTGCATCTTGATCCTTGGAGCATCTGATGGGTCCAGAGGAACTCCCGGTAGGCCAATCCAAGTGACGCGGCGACACAGTGCTCGTCTCCAGCCCAAGAAGCAGAAGCCAAAACCAAACTAGTTAATGGCGGAAACTACTTTTGGCTCTTCCATCGTCAACTGCTCTTCCCTATAAATGCCAAGCCCGGACTCCGCCGGATCTCAAACTCAAAGCTCTTCTGTAGCATCTCAATCCATCTACTCTTCTTCTTCTTCTTCTTCTTCTTCTCCTTGCTTCATTCGGCTAAGCTGATGGCGGAAGGAGTCGGCGAACCGGGGAGCTCGATGCACGGCGTCACAGGGCGCGAGCCGACGCTGGCGTTCGAGACGTCGCCGTCAGTTCCTACGGACGCCACGGCTAAGTTCGCCCTCCCCGTCGACTCGGAGCACAAGGCGAAGGCCTTCAAGCTCTTCTCCTTCGCCAACCCCCACATGCGCACCTTCCACCTCTCCTGGATCTCCTTCTTCACGTGCTTCGTCTCCACCTTCGCCGCCGCCCCGCTCGTCCCCATCATCCGCGACAACCTCAACCTGAAGAAGGGCGACATCGGGAACGCCGGCGTCGCCTCCGTGTCCGGTGCCATCTTCTCCCGTCTCATGATGGGCGCGGTGTGCGACCTCCTCGGTCCCCGGTACGGGTGCGCCTTCCTCATCATGCTGTCGGCGCCCACCGTCTTCTGCATGTCGCTGGTGTCCTCCGCCGGCGGGTACATCACCATGCGCTTCCTCATTGGCTTCTCCCTCGCCACCTTCGTCTCCTGCCAGTACTGGATGAGCACCATGTTCAACAGCCAGATCATTGGCCTGGCGAACGGCACTGCCGCCGGCTGGGGCAACATGGGTGGCGGCGCCACCCAGCTGATCATGCCTCTCGTCTACGATATCATCCGCAAGGCCGGCGCCACCCCTTTCCTGGCCTGGCGCATAGCCTTCTTCATTCCCGGCCTCATGCACGTCATCATGGGCATCCTCGTCCTAGTCCTCGGCCAGGACCTCCCCGACGGCAACCTCAGCACCCTTCAGAAGAAGGGCAACGTCGCCAAGGACAAGTTCTCCAAGGTACCAGCAGTTCCTTCTTCTTCTTCTTCATCTTCCTTTAGTAACCTGATCCTTTAGGATTAATGGTTTTGATGTGTTCCTCCTTTCAGGTATTATGGTATGCCGTCACCAACTACAGGACCTGGATCTTTGTGCTCCTCTATGGCTACTCCATGGGGGTGGAGCTCACCACCGACAACGTGATCGCGGAGTACTTCTACGACCGGTTCGACCTAAACCTCCGGACGGCCGGCATCATCGCTGCGTGCTTCGGTATGGCTAACATCGTCGCCCGGCCTTTCGGCGGGTTCGTGTCCGACTTTGGGGCACGCAGGTACGGCATGCGGGCCCGCCTCTGGAACCTCTGGATCCTGCAGACCCTCGGCGGCGCCTTCTGCCTCTGGCTCGGCCGCGCCAACTCCCTCCCCATCTCCATCTTCGCTATGGTGTGCTTCTCCATCTGCGCCCAGGCCGCCTGCGGCGCCACCTTCGGCATCATCCCCTTCATCTCCCGACGCTCCCTGGGCATCATCTCCGGCATGAGCGGCGCCGGGGGGAACTTCGGCTCCGGCCTCACCCAGCTCCTCTTCTTCACCAGCACCAAGTACTCGACGGCGACCGGGCTTTCGCTCATGGGGGTGATGATCATGGCGTGCACGCTGCCCACAGCCTTCGTGCACTTCCCGCAGTGGGGGAGCATGTTCCTACCGCCGTCGAACGACGCCGCGAAGTCGACCGAGGAGAACTACTACGTGTCGGAGTGGAGCAAGGCGGAGCGGGAGAAGGGCATGCACCAGGCCAGCCTCAAGTTCGCCGAGAACAGCCGGTCGGAGCGCGGGAAGCGATACGTCGAATCGGCGCCGGCCCCACCCGACGCATCCCCTACCAACGTCTGAACACAATTCGAGTCTCGGTAATATGAGACAACGTCCGGAGCTATTGAGATCTTATACTGTGTGGTTTGCAATTGGTAGTATCTACGTCTCCTTCTACCTTACTGTAAGTGTGCCACTATATTGTAATCTACAAAGCATATTTGATGAGGGGATTTATAATACCATATCAACTATGATTTTAGGTTTTATACACCACATATATATATATATATATATATATATATATATATATATATATATATATATATATATATATATATATATATATATATATATATATATATAT